ATAATGCGTCGAATATGGTATCTCTTGGACTAAGAACCAGACCTAGATAAAATAAGATTAAACTTACAGAACAATTGGTGAAGTTTAGAACTTCTATGAACCAAGAATTCTTTTGTAAGTTTAGTGTCTTATATATCACATTATACTCGCACACACTTTGTTGTTTATCGCGGTTTTGCGCTAATAGGCCATGCGCGCGCCTGGTTTTCATGAGTGCTCTAGAAATTTTGCCACAAATTTCATAGAAGCGGCCCCACTCCACACTCATATAGGTCCATCCATCAAGTGTATTATGCAGCACAATACACCACCTATAAAGGCTATATATTAGATTAAGAGTTTCATAACTCAACCTCCCATTCCTTGCAGTTTTGCACTATATATATACACACACCATAGGAAGGGACATAATTTAATAGTGCACACTTGATCAACTAATGACTTGTTATTACCCTTATGAACCTACTTCATGGGATCTCCAATCACATTGGTTGGGTTACCATCATAGTTGATATAACTCAAATTGGCAAAAGTCCCATTCCCCTCGATGTTTCAGATATTAATTTTCTTCCCAAAGGTTTAGTCAGAGGATCGGGCAAATTCACTTCTGACTTCACATAATCTATGGAAATAATTCCATCTTTCAGCAGCTGCTTTATCACATTATGTCTCAATCGGATATGTCTACTCTTCCCATTAAAGGATTTATTTTTGGCAATGGCTATTGCAGCTTGGCAATCACAATGCATCGACACAGAAGGTGTCGGTTTAATTCCTAGTGGAATACTCGCCAAAAGGTTCTTTAACCACTCGGCCTCATTGCCAGCTAATTCCAATGCCACAAACTCAGATTCCATGGTAGATCTAGCTATTATAGTTTGTTTAGCTGATTTCCATGGCACAACACCCCCACCGAGGGTGAACACATAACCACTAGTGGATTTTGTCTCATCTGAATCAGAGATCCAGTTAGCATCACTGTATCCTTCTAGTACAGTGGGAAATCCACTATATTTAATACCATAGTTCATGGTACCTCTCAAATATTTCATTACTCTTACTAATGCATTCCAATGATCATGCCTTGGGTTTTGAGTATATCTACTCAATCTACACACAGCATATGCAATATCAGGTCTAGTAAAATTCATCAAATGCATTAGACTACCAATAACTTGAGCATATTTATTTTGGTCTATAGCATCTCCCTTATTCTTTTTTAACTGACTACTAGCATCATAAGGAGTGCTTACAGGTACTACATCAAAATTATCAAATTTTTTAAGAATTCTTTCAACATAATGTTCTTGAGTCAACATCAAACTACTGCCATCTCTTATAATTTTCATGCCTAAAATAACACTAGCTTCTCCCATGTCTTTCATCTTAAAATTAGAAGACAAGAAAAATTTGGTTTTATGTACCAAATCAAGGCTAGAACTAAAACTAAGCATGTCATCCACATAAAGGCAAATAATAACACATGTACCATCTACACATTTTGTATAAACACATTTATCTACTTCAATTGATGGAAAACCATCATTAATCAATACTTGATCAAATTTTTCATGCCACTGTTTAGGCGCTTGCTTTAGACCATATAAAGATTTTAGCAATTTACATACTTTATTTTCTTGGCCAGACACTATACAACCCTCAGGTTGCTCCATGTAAATTTCCTCTTCCAAATAACCATTTAAAAAAGCAGTTTTAACATCCATTTGGTGAATATAAAGTTTATAAATAGAAGCCAAGGCAAGTAAAACACGAATCGAGGAAATTCTAGTTACAGGAGCATAAGTGTCAAAATAATCAATATTTTGCTTTTGGGTAAAACCTTTTGCAACAAGTCTAGATTTGTATTTATCAATGGTACCATCCGGATTGAGTTTCTTCTTAAAAATCCATTTACAACCAATGGGTTTAGCTCCCGGAGGTAAATCAACTAAAGTCCAAGTTTTATTTTGTAAAATTGAGTTTAATTCTACATCAATAGCTTCTTTCCAAAATGAGGCATCAGACGAAGAAATAGCTTCAGAATATGTTAAAGGATCATTATCCACAAGATATGTATAAAAATCATTACCAAAAGATTTTTCTTTCCTTGGTCTTTTGCTTCTTCTTAAATCCTCACTTTCAAGATCATTTTGAACAATTGGAACATGTGAAATATTATCACTTGGAATAATCGGAGCATCAGAAATTTTCTCAAATTTTAAAGGAAAAATACTTTCAAAAAATTCAGCATTTTTTGTTTCAACAATAGTATTATTTTCAAGTACATCACTTTTGACTACTAAAAATCTGTATGCTGCACTGTTTTCAGCATACCCAATAAACATACAATCAGATGTTTTAGATCCTATTTTTCTTTTCTTAGGATCAGGCAACATAACTTTAGCAAGGCACCCCCACACTTTCAAATATTTCAAATTAGGTGGATACCCTTTCCACAACTCATAAGGAGTTTTACCCGTTTTCTTATAAGGAATTCTATTTTGTAAATGACAAGCAGATAAAATGGCTTCACCCCAAAGATTATCCGGAGCACCAGAACTAACAAGCATACTATTCATCATTTCCTTTAAGGTCCTATTTTTTCTTTCCGCTATACCATTTGATTGTGGAGAATATGGCGGAGTTATCTCGTGAATTATGCCTTTTTTCTCACAATAATCATTCAACAAAATAAATTCACCACCTCTATCGGATCTAACTCTTTTGATTTTCTTATTCAATTGATTTTCTACTTCAGCTTTATAAATTAAAAACTTATCAAAAGCTTCATATTTATTTCTCAACAAATAAACTTTTGTATATCTAGAAAAATCGTCTATAAAAGTCACATAATATTTTTTCCCTCCTCTAGTCATAGTTTGTTTCAAGTCTCCTAAATTAGTATGTATTAAACTTAACAATTCAGATTCTCTAAATACTGAAGCACATGATTTCTTAGTTTGTTTAGCTTCTGCACAAACTTCACACTTATCAATATTCGAAAAATTAATATTTGAAATAAGACCTTCAGAATATATTTTTTTAATATAAGATAAACTAACATGTCCTAATCTTGCATGCCATAAATTAAAAGAATCAATCAAGTAAGCAGAAGTACTAGTATTTTCATTGATAACATTAAGTACAAACAAGCCATGGTTATAATATCTCTTGCCAACAAAATTATTATTCTTGGTCAACACGACCTTATCAGATTAAAAAACAACCTTCACCCCCACTTTTCCTAATAATCCCACAGAGACCAAATTGGCTCGGATACTAGGAACATGCAACACGTCATTCAATGCCAAAGTTTTGCCAGATGTGAGTTTGAGAAGAACTTTGCCTTTTCCAAGAACTTGAGTAGTTCTTGAATCACCAAGATAGACAACTTCTTCTCCCTCCTCAATTTGGGTGTAAGACACAAAGTCTTTTTTGTTAGCACATATGTGCCTAGTGGCACCAGAATCTAACACCCAATCTTTCACATTGGCCACAAGGTTCACTTGGGAAACAACCGCAATAATTATATCATCCACTTTGGCTTCAGTCAAATTTACTTTAGCCTTAGTGAGATTGTCATTCCCAACTCTTTTTCGGCATTGAGCAACATAGTGGCCAGGTTGATTGTTGGTTTTGGGAGTATAACCATTTCTTTTATCATACCTGTTACTTGATTTTCTCTGACAGTTGTTGTCCTCCACAAGGCTGCTTCTAGTAGCAATTTCTTTTCTTTTGTCAACAACAACGTGCTTGCGGTTAAAATTATCTCCACCAAAAATCATAATTTTTGAAACATCGGAAAAAGATTTGGCATAGGTAATTAGTGAGGGAACAACAACAGAAACAGTAGGCACAGCAGGTGCAGTAGCAACAACAACAACATTAGCAGCGTTATTCTCCATAATAACAGCGTGTAAATATCCTTAAGATTGGCGGAAAAATTTGATGAATATGGAGAATAAAAAGTTTAGCTTGAGGTGTGTCAAGGACACTGTCCTTAAGGATATTTCGCCCACTCCGAGATAAATAATATTAGGCGTATCCCCCAGGATTCAACAAGCTCTTCTAGTATAACTAGGAGCAGAAACAACAAAGATTTATAAGAAGAAAACCTAGCACCATAGAAAGAAGAAGAAAAGTTGTTATTATTTTTCACTCTCTTCTATGTAAAACCGAAGAAGCATATATAGTGCAAAGAAAATGCACACTCTGATATATAAAACTGTCCAAGCCATAAAGGCTTTTTTAAAACCTTCAGAAACGTATGCTTCAAAGTTAAAATCATTTCCAAGCCATAATGGCTTTTTAACTTACTATACGTTAACAACAAAAATATAACGTAAAAGAAAGGATCAAGCAAGAATTCACTGACAAACAAATCATTAAAAATTCAATGTCAAGAATGCAAAACGTAAAAGCATTGAAAGCCGTCATCAATTGCCAAACCGTTAAAATTAGATTGTTAATTGAAAATATTCTTTCAGTTACAATACTATCAAGATTATATTAAAATAATGAACCTAGACATAATTGTAAATATTCTTTTTGAGATATTAAAATATTTTTGACTCAACAAAACCACCCGTCTAAAAGGACAATTGATACCTGATGGTCAATAGTATAGGACACTACAAGTCTTTTTTAGGCTACTAAAGTCGTCACTAAATATCAGAATGTCGTCACTATAAATATTTAGTGGCGACTGTAGGTTTGCTGCAGGTAAACCCCTATAAAGAGTGTTTGGTCGCTACTGATGAAGACCTTTAGTTGTAGCTATAGTTGCCAGTAAAACCGTAACACTTGTTGTTGTTACTGTGTTAAAACACAAAATCAGAAAAACTGTTAGAAGAATAAAAGAAATTGGAAAAACAATAAAGATTAAGAAATATTCCGAGTCCATAATTTGCTTGTGCGTCCTTAAGGAATTTTAACCCCCTCACACGTTGCCAAGGTAATGGATTAAATCCTCCCAGGATAAAACGAAATAAACCTTCCTGCAACAGTGGCAATACAAACTGCAGGATACCAACGAACTTAAAGAACGGAGCAAAATCACACTTACGAATTTGAGAGAGAGAGACTGCGAATTAGAATGCAGTATTTTCAGAAAGAAGGAAGTTCTGTAATGTTTTTGGTGTCTTAAAAATGAAGCCAAGCCTAAGAATTTATAGGCACTTATTGGAAGAGGTGTGATGTTTGTTCTGGAAAAGGTGCCTTTTCAGAAGTTTACGCGGCCTGCCGCGATCCTACCGCGGTTACGCCAG